ACTGATTTCTCCCCCAAACATTCCCCCCTTCTACACCCTAAAGCCCTCATATATAAAGTCCCAGCTCACAGCCCGTGGGCTGACATCTTTCCCTTCGCTGACATCTTTCCCTTCCCAGAGGGAAAGGTGCCCCGTGCGAAATAAAGCTGTATCCCGCTGAGAATTCCATCTGTGCCTCGGTGCCTCATCCATCCGCTCGTGCTCTCCACCGCTCAATCTCTCCCAACATTCCTACCTATCAGATGGTGCTGAGACCATCCGCTCGTGCTCTCCACCGCACGCTCTCTCCCAACATTTTTACCTATCAGATGGTGCCGAAACCGGCTCTTACTTCAAGGGACCTCGCATTTAAAACTTTCGGACTCGCTTGTTGTTACTGGCCACTGCGAACACCACTGATTCGGCATTAAGGCACACTTCCACCCTCTATCTCTCTCCCCTCTCTCGTTCCTTTCAGCTCGCTCTCCCTCTCTCTCTCTCTCCCCTTTCCCCTTCACTACTCTCCACCAGTTTTCTTTTCATCTCCTTTCCAATCGAATTCGGTCACTCCCGGACCTCACTCGAGGCCACTGGACAGCACTGGTTTCTGCGACCGTTGAATTGCCCAGCACGGTTACTGTGCCTGTCCACGCCCACCTGAGAGTCAGACCTGCCTCCCTGTCGCACTCAAATCCTTTTTCCTACCTCAGCTCCCTTCCCTTCCTCATTCCTGCCATCTTTTGCCTTCCCCTAACATCTCATCTTCTCTCTCTCTCTCTCTCCTTCTCTCTCTCTCCTCTCCCTCCATTTACTGGCTACTCTGAGCTTCATCTAGACCTCTCCACTCTTCTCCATTCCCGGGCCATCTCGGGCTCCAGGCCCACTACCTTGTTTCCTTATACTTTGGCTCCTACTGCTGGTCACGCACCACATTGCAGAACCTCTCCTAACTCATTTTTACTCGCTCGAATTCACACCGGTGTGTGGGAGGTTCCACCCTGCCTTTGACTACAGGACGCTGTCATCACTGGCGGGGACATGCACAACTCGTATCCCCCTCCCCAAGTGATTGCAGGATGCTGCCCTGGGGTTTGGGAATTTAACTCAAATCAGCAATAGAAAAAAGGACGCTTTTCTTTTGTTGCCTGATTCTTCTCGTTCTCGTTTTTATGTGACCTGAGCCAAACCTTTCTCTTCCTGCTTCCTCTCTCTCTCTCTCTCTCTCTTCTCTGTAAGCTTACTCCCTCCTGCGCTGACTCCACCTCTGTCCCCTCAGGGCAAAAAGATCCTCTTTGTTCCCCCACCCACCAGCTGAGGTTTTTAACTCTTCGCTTTCCACCTAATCCATTGCTATGGGAACCAAACACTCAAAACCTCAGGGTCTCACACCTTTGGCCTGCCTTCTTAAATCCTTAAAAAAGCTAGGACTGTCTCACACTATCAGATCAAAACGCCTAAAATTCTTGTGCACCACTTCCTGGCCTCAGTACAAACTAGATAATAACTCTGTTTGGCCAAACACTGGAACCTTAGACCTCAATATTTTAAAAGATTTGGAAAACTTCTGCCAGCATAACGGCAAGCAGTCTGAACTACCCTACATCCACGCCTTTCTTGACCTCCATGCTAATCCCTCCCTCTGTGTCAAATGTTCTTCCCACCAGGTCCTCCTGGCTAAGACAGTCTCACCAGATCCTGAAACTCCAAGGGCCTCTGCCCCTCACCCTCCTCCCTACCCCTCTGACTCTACTTTTGATTCTTCCGTAGCTGATAACCTGCCCCCTATCAGAACCCAGCCCCAAGACCCCCCCGCTCCCGAGCCTGAGGCACAATGAAGTCCTCCCCCTGCCCTCCTATCACTATACCCTCCCTTGCCTTCCAGTCCAGGGGCCAGCCCACCTCCCCTCCCTTCTCCATCTCAAACTCCCTCTCTGCAATCTTCCCCCTCCCTTCCTCAGCATTCTGAGTCTGACACTCACTCTCTTAATTCCCCTTTATTCAAGGAAATCCAAAATCTTAAACACCTCATTACCAAATACTCCCTAATCTCCCCAAGTCTGACTTCTACTTCAAATACCCCCATTTGCCCCTTCTGTATCTGCTTCTAC